GTGAGATATAACACAGCAATGAATGTATCCTTTTAATCATATCCTTGTTTATATGTAGATATGAATGTTTCTTGGATCATATTGGGGATACATATCAGTAAACACAGTAGAAGTAAAAAAAAATGTACTTAATGCACTTACTCTACAGAGCATGTTATGTTAGCCTTGCCTACCTCTACCTCGGTCAGAGCACTCTCATTCTCCTACACTTGATGGAATCATCTAACAAAAAAGTGCTTACAATAAAATGCTGAATAGCTCATGTGGCTTACTGAGTATCAGCCAATCAAAACAGGAGAAAACGAACAGTAGTTTTACTTATTCTTTGAAAATTCAATACAATTTAGTAAAGTTTGATCATTCCCACCTCCCTCCCCTTCATTAATAACTACCATCCCATCTTCCTTACCACTTCATGTTTTCACCCTCAGGATAGAGTTGTTGTTTATATCCGGCTGACTAGAGAGTCAGACCACATGTTGCAACCCAAAGTAAAGGAATCTAAAGTACAGCCTTTTCAGAATTAGTATCCCTTTACACTATCACAAGCTTGAAAATTCTTGAGCCATGATAAGTCAGGGAGAAGATATATAAAAATCACACATTTTAAATTATCTCTCTTTTTTTTAACTTTAAAAACTATCATCTGGAAAGGCACTACCCTGTGGTGGTATTCTAATTGTACTGAAATGTGATTTTGATTGTATGTTAATAAATAAAGTTGCCCGGGGGTCAGAGCTATTAGAGCCATAGCAAGAGTATGGAGGTGGTGGCACATGCCTTTAATCCCAGCATTTGGTGGAAGAGCTAGGTAGATCTCTGTGTGTTCAGGGATACAGCCAGCATTGGAGACATACGCCTTTAAGATCTGGGGGGCTGTACATATAGGCAGTGATGAGGCAGTCCCGTGTTTGGGTTTACAACCAATGAGAAGGCAGAACAAAAAAGACTATGAAAAGACATACACATAGGAAGTACCTCTCTTTTGGGAAGCTAGGATCACACAGGAGGAAGGGTAAGATTTTAGCTCTGAGCTCTGACCTCTCAGCTTTCTCTTTTACATTGGTTCTGTGTTTTTTATTTAATAAGATGGTTGATTACATCTACAACCCAAATGTCTGAGAAAATCTGCTGCTATTAAAATTATATTTATCATTTTCCATGAAACTATTTATCATTGAGTCTGCTTTTTAGATACTTAGTAGCATCAGGATATTAGTAAATATTGAATATTTTCCTCCTTCTTAGGCATTTTCATTTCATATCTTTCAAATATGAAAGTTATTTAATTTTTTAAATATTTAATTTTTTCAAATACATCTTTCCTCTGTGATGCACTTCGTTGTTTTCATCTGTGTGGTTACACAACTTGTAAATTTTTACTTTTTATATTTAAAAATCATTTTATTTCTTCCATTGGCATGTATTCACGTTAGTGCCGCTGGGTCACGTTTGACACCAGTGTGGGATCCACTGAGCCCACTCCAGCGCTCCCCCCCGGCTGTCGCTTCTCTTTCTCCTGAGCAGCCTCACTTCTGTTTCCATGTCATGCATACGTACATGATTCATCTATGTGAAATCTAGGGAACACAGGCAAGAGAATGCATGCCATATCTGTTTTTCTGGGGGTTAGCTTAGTATGCTTAGCTCCAACTATATCAGTTTTCTTGAAAATGACATAATTTTGATATTATTTATGTCTGAAAAAATCCATTGTGTATATATACCACATGTTTTTATTAGTTCTTCTATTGACAGATACATGGCTTGGTACTATAAATTAGCTATTAAGAATAGTATTGAAATGAATATTGATGGGCAAATTATAAATTTTAATGTAATACCCTATGGACTTGAAGATTCAGGATTACCATTTGTGGCTGGTGGTTTAAAGGACATCATACTATCAATGTATTTTAAAGGTATACCAGCATCTCATAACAGATAAAAAAAAATAAACAAACGTGCTGAAATTGCACTGACTGCTTTTCCAGAGGACCTGGGTTCATTTCTCAGCACCTACATGGCAGCTCACAACTCCAGGATCCAAAATCCTCTCACAGACAGACATACAGGCAAAACACTAATAAAAATAAAGGTAAATAAATTTAATAACTTGGCGGTGGTGGTGCACGCCTTTAATCCCAGTATTTGGGAGGCAGAGGCTGGAGGATGTCTGTGAGTTTGAGGTCAGTCTGGTCTACAGAACAAGTTACAGGACAGCCAAGGTTACAGAGAAACCCTGTCTGGAACCCTCCCTTCCCCACCCCCAAAGGTGCTGAATTTGGTACTTCTATTCCAGGAAAACTAAAAGGCTAATCAAATAATTATAGAATAGGATGTTCAAAATAAACATTGAGCAATTCTCTTGAAAACAGTGCCACCATCCAGAATATTCTTGATTTATTTGATTTTAGGTGGTATAATTTGATTAAACATTGCAATCTTTGGTTACTTAAGTATGAACCCTCAGTTTTATCACCCGTATATTCACTGTCATTAAGAACAACATCATTATGGGGTTGAGACCAGCTCCCACACCAGTCTTGACTGTAGTGACATATACTATCATCTTGGGGTTTCTATGAGCTTAATGCTTTATGTCAAACTTGTTGTGTTCTCCAGAGTTGTTCACATCTGGGACTAGAGGAATGAGAGACAACTAGGATTTGGGAAGTATAACCAACTCTCCACATTTATTTCATCAGTCTGTTCGCATTTGGCTTTACCAGTCACCTGTACCTTATCCGTGCGATGTTCTGGTCAGCTCAGTCCATAGGACTTACAACAACACTATATTGAGTGCTTATGATGGGCAGTGTGCTGGACATGGTTCTCAGTACCCAGAATGTAGTGGATACACTATACATTGGTGAATATTTGTCTATATAAATAAGCATAAACACTTTTATTAAGTGTATTAGTTAATTTTAAGAAGCTGTGACAAAAATACCAAAGAGAACAAACTAAGAGAGGAAGAGTTTATTTAGTTATGGTTTCAAAGGATTCAGTTCATGGTCACTTGACTTTGTGCACTTGAACATAACATCACAACAACAGTGAGAAGCATGAAAAAGAGGAGGCAGATAGGAGCAAAGAATATAGAAGGAATTATAGGTATAACCATCAAAAGCATGCACAGAGTGGTTTAGTTTTTCCACCTGCTAAAGTTTCCAAAACCCCAAGCAAAACTACCAGCTGCAGAGCAGGCATGCAAGATGAGCACTTGTAGCGGAGACTGTGCAGATGGCCAGCTATAGTAGTGAGGTAAAGAATGCATCAAATGACATGTGACGTAGTAGGGGATGTAGATGTGGCAAATAATTCCAACATGAAGTAAGCCCAGAAGAGAGTGGCAGCACAAAGAAAGAGCTCCACTTCCAGTGGCTTGTATGAGCCAAGTTCAGGGCTACCAGGGTGTTTCAGAGAGAGCAGCACTAAGAGCTGTGGGGTATACTGATGTCACTATATCAGAAATTTAACAGTTCTGAAACATGGGAATAAAATGAAAACCTGTGTGTGTGTGTGTGTGTGTGTGTGTGTGTGTGTGTGTGTGTGTGATACTACAATAAAGGGACATGAATGGAGTAATTAACTTCTGTGAACTAATGAGGAGGCTTCATGGAAAAGGGACCAGCACAGTGTTTTCATAGATGGACTCTCAAATCAAGTCAGCTGAATTTAGAATGTTGACTTACGTCACTGGTTGTTGACTTGACCTTTCTAGCTCTCAGCTTCCTCATCCATAAAGTGGAAATAATAATAATGCCTAGCTCATAGGGCTGACAAACACCTGCAGATGATTCACATAAACATAAAAATAAAAAGCACTCAGTGAAAGTTAAGCTCCTCTTATTATTACACTAGAGCCATGCTGGAGAACCTTTTCAGCATGAGAAGAACAGCAGGGAGGAGGCCTGGGAAGTTAATGCATCTGACACACCAAGAACAAGTCACAGAGACAGTCTATGGGATGTTTTTTTTTTTTTTTTTTTTGTTGTTGTTGTTTTTGGAGGGGTGCATGATAGTACAGAAGCTGAGGATAAGCAGCTAGAAATGTAAAATAGGGCAATTTTTTTACTTGTTGCAATGTGTATACTTTTTTTTTCAACAAAAACTAGAGTTTGTCATTTTACAGCTTTTAATTCACCTTTGCTAAATTTTTTAAATTGCATTTTACAAAGATAACAGTCATATGAGATTAGAATTAATACAACTTATTCTTCATCCAGGATAGTTTCAGAAAAATGAAACCCAGTGGGGCTGGATGCTACCATTCATGGAAAGGCCATTTAGGACCATGTTGTAAGATCCTTGAATACCTCACAGAGGTGATACTATGTGGAAGGCAACAGGACTGGAAAACGTGTAGAGGGACTGTTACCTGAGAGCTGTGTGCACATAGACGAAAGGACTCAGAATATTCTTCTTTGTGTATGTTTAATTTTTCTTCCTTGTTTTTCTAAGCATGTGAGTTTTCTTTTTCTTAGCACCTCCCTAGGCAACCCAGGCTAGCCTGGAACTCACGATCCCCCTGCCTCCATCTTCTGGGTTCTTAGATAACACACACATGTATCAACATGCCTAAGTTTTTCCTTGGTGTGGTTAAGAGGACAGGCAGGAACTACAAAGTATTTCACCAAGATAACTTTGATAAGAGTCTGGCTAAGCAAAGGAATTTGGACTTACCAAAACACAACATGTTAAAAATACACATGCTTTGTGAGTAGTAAGGCACATTTCTTTCCTGGACACCTTATAATGCCTAGGCAGACAAAGGACTTTCTGATCACCTAGTTTAGATTACGCCCTCTGCCTTCCACAGTTACCTCCTCTCTTACAGTCCTTCAACCTTGCAGGAAATGAGAAAATAACCTGGTGGTTTGTTTTGTTTTTCAGACAGGGTCTCATTCATTCTGTAGCTTTTGCTAAGTCTCAAAGTCCTGGGCGATCTCCTTGCTGGCTCAGCCTCCCTAGTGCTGGATTATTACCGGCTGAGCCAAAATAACGGTTCAGTTGCTTCCCTTGGGGAGGAGTTTGACAGTTCCCGGCCCAAGGTATCCAAAAGCCAGGCCTTGAGGACCCCACTGGGCCTAAGCCAGGCTCAGGGAGACAGATGCCTGTCCAGGTCCGGTCGGTCCGCCACAGCCTCTGTTAAAACTCAAGTCGCGCTGCGAGGAAAATTACACCATCTTCTGCGGGCCACTAGCCAGGGCGGAATCCTCAGCTCTCTGGCACGTGAAAAAGCCAGGCTTGCAGACCCAGGGTGCTGGGGAGGAGCGGATTAGTGGGGGGCAGCTCTTGTGGCTCCGAGGCCCGCCCTGCAGGCCCAGCACGACCTTCCCGTTCCCGCCCCCACCCAGACGCGGCCCCGTCTTCTGCAGGCCTCACCCGGGTGTGGCCGCTGCTGCTCCGCAGAGCCTCGCGACCAGGTGCGTGCACCCGGGCTGTGGGCGACCGGCTTCTCCCGGGAAACGGGGGGGAGGGCTGAGGCCAGCAGGCCTGGCTGCCAATGAGCTTCTTGACCGGGAGGCAAAATCACCAGCTGAAGCCTGGACTGCCTGCTGTCACACACAAACCCCGAGGCAGAGCCCAACTGCTGGTGCCTGTCACCTGTAGCCCTTCCCCAAGGCCCCCGCCTGCCCTTCATCTGCCTAGGAGCTGCCTTCAGCCCCTATCTGGAATGTTCTCTAGTCTCCTGAGTGACCAAGAGGCTTTATGGGGGTAGGGTGGGGGAGCTTTGGGGGTTTTCTTTCACTTTCTGCCTCGTTCTCTCAATTTGAGTGTCAAAAGCTCGCTCTCAAGAGTTGCAGTTTCTGACTTGTCATAGATAATAGCACTCAATAGCTATTAAATGACAATGAAGTAGAACTGAATGAATTAAGTGGACAAACGCATAGGAAATAGAGCAGAGTGAACAAATTTATGACTGGCACAGAGTCAGCAGACATGCAGGCTTTCAACTCTGTTTTTTCAGAGCTAAGTGTTTTGCAATCTCTCTGGTTAATTGAGAAGAATTTGGTTCTATGCAGCTGTTAAATAATCACCAGACTCTTGAACCCTGTTATCTACTTTAGTTGGATTCGAGTAGACATGCTTGCTTAAAACAAAATATACCCGCGCTGTTTCTTGCTTGCAACTTGTTCTCCTCGGCTTTTCTCACTGTAACATTTAATGTATTTCCAAAGTGCAAAGGTACATCTAAAGGAAGAACCATGTCACTGACTTGTGTGTAAAAACAGACATTTCCTTTGAGTCCAAGACTACGAACAATGTCTGTTTTCTGTGGACAGGTTTGGTTCGGTAAATTAAGAAAGCTAATCATGTCTTTGTGCACAACACATAAAGACTGCTTTAACATAGTTGGCCACTGCTGCGGTTCTGTTTCCTAGATCTCAGGTTCCACAAAAACCAGTTGACCTTGATTGAGTTTGTCAATTGATCTCTTTAGATTTTAATTTCTCTGTGTATGTATGTGTGTGTGTGTTTCCGTGTGTATGCACATGTGTGTGTGGGCCTGTGGGGGGCCAGTAGTCAAGGTCAGGTATCTTCCTCAAGGGTTTTCTTCCTTAAACTATTGAGACAGCACAACTCTGATGAACCTGGAGGTCATGGATTCAGCTAAATCAGTTGGCCAGTAAGGTCCAGGAATCCATCTACTTCCACCCTGCTAATGCTGGGATCACAGACATGGACCAGTGCACCTGCCTTTGACGTGGGTGTTGGGTCCTTATGCTTACATGGCAAGCACTTTACAAATTGAACCATTGTCCCATCACTAGCTCTTAATTATTTTAATCTCTAAAATGATGTCACTTAAATAAATTCCTCCTCCTAGTTATTGCATGTTCTTTGGTCAGGGTTCAAAGTGAAGTTTTGAATGATTTCATGGAATTCTACATACTTCCTCTACTCTGTTTGGGATTCTGTGAGTCTTGCCATGCTTCTTTCTCTGCAGATTACTGCTCCCTTGTTTTCTTTACCACACTTCCAAGCAGAGCCTGAGACCTTCAGTTGGGAGAGAGAAAAGAAGGCAATATTTTCTTCTATATCATTACAGGCTCCCAGTCTGGGTCTCAGTCATTTCCAGTCAACCCTGTCAGATAATGCCATGATTTTCAGCATATTTGGGAAATTGTTTCATTATGAATTTTATCATAGATCACAACATTTTAGGGCTGGAAGGAACGTGGATATTTTTAGAGGACACTTAAAAAGGCATTTTATCTAAATATTAAAATATTCTTTTGCATACTATGTGTAGCAAACACATAGTTCAAAAAATAAAATCTGTGTTACCTACTTATTTCAAGTTTATCTGGTTAAGTAGAGTAAATATTTTGCTTGGTGAAAAACACTGGCTTTCTTAGGTTCTTTTCCAAAAGAACTAGTTGTGGGGTCATGTGTCATTCTGATAAAATGTTCAGGGTTAATATTTATGGTGCTCAGGCCACACACTTTACTGTTCATCTAAACTTCTTACTTATATTGCCCCATTTAATCCTCACCATAAACCTAAGAGCAAGATCCAACTGAAGCTCCTTTTGACCTTACTAACAACCCTGATGACCTGAGTAAAATCCCTGATGTGGAAGAAGAGAACTGTTTCTGCAAATTGTCCTCTGATTTCCACATATTCACCATGGTGTGCATTCGGGCAACAGACACACACACACACACACACACACACACACACACACACACACACACACACACAATGTAATAAAAATTGTCAGTCAGGTTTGATGACACACACTTGTATTTCCAACACTGGAGATGCTTAGGCAGGAGGATTGCTGTGAGTTCAAGGACAGCCTAGGCTACCTGGTGAGATATAGTCTCAAAAACAAAAACAAAACCGAAACAAAAAATGTTTGAATTCCACTATGATTCCATAATTTGAACTTAAATGCTCATGTATCTTAATAACTTCACTGATTTAGGGAATTTAAAGTGGGTGACACTGAGGGCTGTCATCAGTGAACAGTACCTAAGGGCTGTACCATGAGATCTAAATCTAAGCACTGGTGTGTGTGTGTGTGTTTATTTTCTAGCTTTGTGTCTTTGGTGAGAGGCTGCTTGCCAACATACTAATAGGGAACAGTGGGAATGCAAGATGGGCTTGCAAGACCCTTATAATTAATTGATGAGAGCAAAAAACTGGCCTATAAAATAAGTAGAAATTTATTTTGCTTCTTGTGTCTGCCAGGTTTAGCCTCATGGAAGGCAGAGGCCAATGGTAGCTGCCTGGAAGTCTGAGAGCCCATGCCAGTTTGATTTAGCTCAGGAGGCTGGTGCTTTCTGCCCTGGAGGCTGATATGATGGAATAGACTTTCTTCTTGCTCACAATATTATGAAAAAAAAATTTAAAGCAAAATCTTTTATTACTTGCCCTGGAGCTAGAGCTTTAAAATGTACTTTCTCTCCCCCGCCCCACCCCGCTCCCCACCGCCACCCCCACTATCCCTAAACCACTTAGCTTTTAAAAACAAATAATCCATTCCTGTGCTTGCCATTGTTGGATTGTTAGTCCTTTGTCTTCATTTCTGCATGCTCCTTCCTTCCCTCCTTTCTTCTTTTTCTTCTTCTTCCCTTCTTTGTTTCTTCTTCCCTCCCTCCTTTTCTGTTTTCCCACCCTTCCTGTTTTTAACACAATTTTCCACTCAGTACTTCTATTGCTCAGGAACTCGCTATGCGGCCAAGGCTGCCTTCAAACTTGCTGCAACCTACCCTTGCCTTTCAGCCTCCCAAATGCTGGGGTTATAGGTGTGAGCCACCCCATTCAGCTCTGGGATCTCCTCTGTAATATAGCAAAGTAGTGGGAACGACTGGTGTGATTCTTTTTAGTTACTACTTTATTCAGTGCATATTAATATTTCAACAGTTTACTGAGTCTGTGCTATATGCTAGATAAAGAATAGAATACTGAGTTTGAGCAAGAGGGTGAACTACCACATATTTAATTATACCAAATGGCAATGCAGGGTAGATGTAGTGACATGCCTGTCATTCCAGGGTTTGGAAGACAGAGATAGGGGTTCCCTGGGGCAAGCTGGGTAGCTCCCGTGTGTTCCAAAGTTGCCTTTGCTGGAGAACTTTGTGTCCAGTTAAGAGGCACTGCCTCAGTGAATAAGGTAGAGATGGAGGGAAGATTCTGGATGTCAACTTTGGATCTCTGCAGGCATGAACACATGTACACATACACATGCAAACAAAAACACCCACACCACACAGACACATGCAAAAGTTTTACTTTATTTCATTTTTAATACTGGTATGGATTCAAGGACCACAAGACTTTCTGGTTTCCCTGTGTCTGCCCACTATATGGATGAATTTACATGCATGGTTGTCTCCTGTGGGTCCTCCTCACAGTCAGACTGAGGGCAGCGTCAGAGCTACACTTGTCCATTTCTCAGCTGAGTTTTATATTGCTCAACACCCTACTTAGAGATGCTTGGTAAGCAGTAAAGGTAAGTAGATGCATTAACTGAAAAACATCATGTTAAACATATTTTACAAGGTCTTTAATGATCCAGAGATTCAGAAGCAGACTATCCTCATACTACTTGATATCCGAGTCTTCACATATACATGGGATACATGGTGTCGCAGGTGTATCTTACCTTAAGCAAATTCCGTACTGGTAAGTTTGACTTTATTTACACTATCCACCATTGTTCACTTTATAAAAAAAGTTATCAGTATGATTGTCCAGTTCATAAAAGGGTTAACTTCCTTGCTGAAGATCGAGTCATGAGTGTTTTATACTGGAGACCCCCATTGCACTGAAAGTATCTGATTTTTCAGTCTCTAAATACCACCTCTTATGAGCATCCTGTTCTGGTGCTAAGAATCCTTCCAGCCACTGACCCTCTCCCTAGAGCTCTTGACTCTGCTGGTCTCCACATACCGTCTGCTTTAGTTTTTCACTTGACATGGTTGGCAGAGTTAGAGGGAACATACAGCGAAAAATTCCACAGCAAAGCAAGGCTCTGAGATAAAAGATGTTACCATGGATTAAAAGGCAGAAGGTTGTGAATTACTGCCAGTCATGGGAGCTGAGACAGTGCAGGCACCATAGTTTTAAAGTTGTAGTTTATGTAAGAAAGATACAAGCATCCAGCGGCATCTACTTCACATTGTTCCTGTAGCAACCAATGCAAAGGGGTTCTTTGTATGTAAGGTACTATGCTGATACATTCTTTTCTACAAAGAGCCTGGTATGACTACACCAAATCATACTGTGTTGGTCATTTCCCTTGCAAACAATTTGTCACAGACTTTATCAAATGTTCTGAAATTTTTCTCCTAATAAAATAAATTTTCTCTCTTCTTTTTTTATCTTATTCTCCCTCTCTGGTATTCCTCACCCAGTGCAAAACTTCCCAATCCCTTTTCTGCAAAGTAAGATCAACCTCTCTGTCAGCAC